CTCTGTAAAAAAAAAAATTTAACTAAAAATAGATAAAAAAAAAAGATTCAAAGTGCTAAAGTTACAAAACTATGGCAGAAATTCAAGGTGGATTCAGACAGGAATGGGGACTGAGGAATTATCATTGTTGATGCCAGAGAGACCTTGGCTGGAAGGACAGAATACCAGAAAGATGTTTACTTGTCCTTGGTAAGTGATGGAGCTGGGGGACCCAGCATGTGCCCTCCCCCTAGATTCCTGCCCATGCTGGAGGAAGAGATCTACGGGGCAAATTCTCCGATCTGGGAGTTGGGCTTCACCATGCCACCCTCCGAGGGGACACAGTTGGTGCCCGGCCCAGGTAGGTGCTGCCTGGTTCTCTGCCTGCTGTCCTGGCGTGGACACAGACCCTCTAAGACATGTAGCCCTCTCTGACAGCTGGAATCATGAGTGCTAACTCGGAAGAAAGAAGAGCTTCTGCTGGCCAGTTACAGCCTGTGAAAACCTGCCGGCAAGTCGGCCATGAGTCAGTCCACGCAGACAGCCAATGCAGGCGCTTCCCCAGGGCTTCACTTCCCGGCAGCCAGGGGAACTGCTGCCTGCTCAGCTCTGGACTGAATTTTTATGCCCACCGAGGAGGAGTCTGTTTCCTTAGAGGGGCTTTCTTGTGTCATGTGAGTAGATAAAACGGTCAAGTTAATTCAAAGAACTCAATATTGAGATCACATGCCAAAATTGTTAAAATTGTAACATATTTGATCTCAAGCTCTGAATCTCAGCACCATGTGACTTTCTGTTCTTTCAAGGTTGTTAATCTTTACATGTTGCCAGATGCTTGGCTTTCAAAATTCATGGTGATAAATGTATTCAATGAAATGAGACAGAAAAGAAATTTGTTCAACATACAGATTATCTGCTCTCCACACAGGTATCGAGAGAGAATACAAAGAGGAATGTGGCATCAGGATTGCAGAGAGACTCATCAATAACCTGCATCATGCAGATGACTCAACCTGGCTTGCTGAAAGCGAGAAGGACTTGAAGCACTTGTTGCAGAAGATCAAGGAATGCAGCCTTTGGTATGGATTTCATCTCAACATCAAGAAAACATAGATTTTTACCACTGGACCGACAGGCAACATCATGATGGATGGAAAAGAGACTGAAACTGGCAACAATTTGCTTGGATCCACAATTAACACCCTTGGTACAAGCAGTCAGGAAATAGGAAGATGCACTACACTGGAAAAATCTACAGTTAGGGATCTCTCCATATTATTAAGGAGTAATGATGTCAGTTCAAGGAATAAGGTGCATCTGACTCAGGCCATAGTCTTTCTGATGACTTGCTATGAATCTGAAAGCTGGACAAGGAATAAGGATGACAGAAGAACTGACACCTTTGAGCTATGGTTTTGGAGAAGAGCACTGAACTTCCCATGACAGCCAAAAAAAACCAAACAAGTATGTGCTGGAGACGGTGCAGCTGGAGTGCTCTTCGGAGGCAAGAATGATGAGGTTTTGCCTCTCATCCTTCGGGTATGTCACTAGGAAGGACATGATGCTGTGAAGGGTGGAAGGTCGGTGAAGGAGAGGAAGACCTTCAATCCCGTGGACTGACGCAGCGCTGCAGTGGGCTCTAGTGTGTCAGGAAGTGTGAGGACAGCACAGGGTAGAACAGGGTTAGGATCTTTTGTTCACAGGGTCACTATGAGTCGTAGCTGACTCAACAGCTCCCTAAAACAGCAGTAACAGATGAGACATGGGACATGTCAGAGTGTACCAACCTGACTCCTCTGTAAGGCTGGACCATGAACAGTCGTTAAATCTCTACCTTGTCAGGTAACAAGGATAAGGAGAAGTCCAGAGTATGCTCCTCCGTGGATGCCGGAGATGTGAAGATCAAGCCCCCAACACCCCAGGCTCAACGGCTGACCACCAGAAAACCGGAAGCAAACCAGGTTCATTGCTGTTAAGTCAATTCGGACTCCAGAAGACAGAGAATTGTCCCGTGGAGTTCCAAGGCTATAAATTTCCACTGAAGCTGAACTACCACACTTTACCTCAATGAAGGGAGTGGTGGGTTTAAACTGCTAATCCTTCTTACTTCTTCCTAAGTACTTAACTGCAGTGACACCAGGTTCCTCAACAAACACAAAGTGTCAAGCCATCTGGATCAACTCTCTCCAGAACCCAAGCATATCTTCTTACCCTCTCGTTGCACGTGATGTCGTCAGTCTTGATGTCTGAGCCCATCTGGAGGCTGGGGGAGTTGATCTCACCCTGCAGACGTCAGTCATAAACAGAAAAGCAGACATGGAAAAAGCGTTAGGGTAAGGCTCATGATTTTAATATGGCAAACTTTGGGAAACTAAGACATTAAAAGTGTAGAAAAAGAACATGTTAACAATGCTTTTCGACTCACTGGTGCTAACAGGAATACGCTAAAATCATCGTCATGGCTCTCAAAGCAGAATCAGCAAATGAGATTATCACCTCACAAGGGAACACAGAGCAACAAAAGTGAAAAAACAAAACAAAACAAAAAAACCCAACAAACCCACAAAACCTCCAAACCTGCTGTTCCCAAGAAGACAGATTTAAAAACAAAACAAAACAAAACAAACCTTAACATAAGGAAATACACATGATGTAATTCACATAAAAAAATAAACAGGCAAAGCTAACACACACATGCGCCCAATACAGGGATGCATATATAGGTTGAGAAAAGTATACAAGATGATGATCTTGTCATTCGGCAGACTGGCTGCTGCAGGGCCGGTTCAGAGCTGATACACAAAGCCCCGGCAGGCATCCGTGCATTCCAATTTTTCCCTTTCACCCAATGCCCAATTCTAATCCTTTCATATTCTGCCCCTCTCATCATTTCATAATAGTTGTCTCAGCAACTGGACCTCCAGAGGTCCTCCAGTCATTCTCCAGAGTTACCTGCTATAAAAACCCATCCTGTAAGGCAGCCACCCTACTGATTTACATGTCCTTCCTGGCCATGTCTCAGATTATTCCCCACACTAAAGTGTCTCCCTCTCCTGCTAACGCCCTACAAAACCTTCACTGACCAGGAAGACTTCAGCCTGTGTAACCTAGCCATCTCCGCCGTGTTTGCCTCTCCCACAGTTTGTCTCAGCTACTGGACCTAGTCCCTAGAGAGAGCCCAGTGGAGCCCTTTGCCTAGGCATTTTTGGTCTCCTCTGGAAGTTGTGAGGTGAAAATTCTAGTTGTTTTCTGACCTTCCTGTAAGAGTCTATACCTGACAAGACCATCTATGACATTCACCTATGTTCCCTCTAAAATGTTCAGTTTACTGAGTAACTGTTTCATGCACTGTCTAAAGATGTTATTGGAAGAAAGAGAGGCAATCGCGTCATGCAATTTACAGCCCCTGAGTTGGTTCTGACTTAAGAGCATATAACGAATGATGTTATATTTTACAATAAAATGCAGTGCAATAACATCACTTATCAAAAAATACATTTTTAAATATTTTATATAATTTTATTATTTTTTATTTTATTATCCAGCAGAGCATCTGGTGGATTTGAACCACAGACCTCTAGGATTGCAGTACAGCTTCTTGCCACTAGGCCTCCAGAGATCCCTTCAAAAAATACATTTTAAGAGAAAAATCATCTGTATAGATGCAGAAAATGCAGCTTACACGATACAGCACCCATTAAAATCTAAAGTGCTTGGCAATTTGGCACCTGTAGGACCTTGTATCAGTGAGTAAAGGATGTACTTGTCAAGAAACGTCCATCCAAGAACAAGCAAGCCATGAAAGTGCCAGGTGTCCCAACACAAATACAACAAGGACTCGCCTTACCTCACTCCCAGTCAGCACCGTGCTGGACATCCCATCTAGACGTGCTGGAGGACAGAAAAGAGACAATCAGGGAAAAAAACAAAGCAAAAACAAGCCACTCTGCTTTACCTTACAGCTCAAATGACTGTTTTTGTAATACTCAGAAAAGTGAAGATTAGTCACAAAATCAGATCTTTGTTAAGTCTCTAGAAAGCAAACTCAATGCAAAAATGAATCTTATGCATTTTTATTCCACCCAAACACTGTTATAAGGACATCTTTAGACACAGATAGAGAGATCAGTTGGCCCAGTGGACAGAAGGAGATGCTACCAAGCCGAAGGTGGGTGACCTTTAATCCGTGGCCCTCGGGCCTGTCTTTCATTGTTTTTGTTCAGACATTCCTCTAGGTCATGTAGCCCTGGTGTACAAGTTGCCGTACCTCGGTCACTTGTGGTTGCTGTGAGGCTGAACACTGTGACCCGGATGTGTCAAATGCGTTAATGGTTGGCTACCCAATGCGGACAGAGAGTGGGGTGGAGCTCCCCGATTTAAACAAGCTTGGAAGGAGGAGTGGCGTCCACTTCCGTAATAGCTTGCCTCCGGAAACCCTATGAACCTGGAGAGAGGATGAGAGACACCCAAGCGTTGAGGACTCTCCTTCATAGGGTCGCTATGAGTCGCCTGAAACTCGATGACACTTAACAACAACAACAACAATGAAATCAAACCTCCTGCAGCAGTTTTTTGACGCCTGGCAAGCCCTCGTGTTACAGGGAAGAACCAGCTCATATGGCATGTTAGCTGTCATTACCTTCATGGAAGCAGGCTGCCAAGTCTTTCCTCTGTGATACCAGGGGGTAGGTTCACACTGCCAACCTTTAGGTTAGTCGTCAAGTGCAAACTGCTTGTGTGCTGCCTTGAGACTTCTTAGAAAATAACAGACTTTATTAAAACTAATTGTTACTGCAACTAATTTTAAGTCCTAAAACAAGCCTCGTGAAGAAAGACTACAAAGCCTCAGTGTAGAATGACTGAAAGGTAGGTACAGTGTGTTCTTTTAGAAAAAACACTGTCACCCCTTCCAAAACAAGGCAGTTTTAATAAAATACCAATAAAACCACAGCTGTTGCTATGATGCTAAACACTGTGACACTGATGTGTCAAATGTGACAATGGTTACCCATGGTAAACAGGGTTTGGTGGCGCTCCCTGATTAAAACAAGCTTGGAAGCAGGAGAAGCATTCACTTCTGAAATAACTTATCTCTGGAAACTCTAT